CGTGACCTGCTTGCGGTGTCACCACAGTCCCGCTCACTTGCCACGGCAAGGCCCAACATATTTTGGTGGTGCGGTTGTTCCGCTACCAGCTCTCTCTCCATTACGAGTGGGAGAATGAAGAAATGAGGAGAAAGAGCTGATAGCATCAAGTGAGAACCGTCCAGTCACGCCCTTTTTCGCTTCATACACGTACAAACGAGGTTCGGCTTAGAGTTCTATGTCGAGCTGTCGAGCTAGTTTTTCCTGCATTTTTTGCTTCTCGTTTGTTGTATTCTCCATTCTAACCTCGTATTTGACCACCAACACCACAACTGACCATTTGTGAATGTGGGGCGTGCCTTTAGGAAACTTTGGTCATATCGCAATGTAGATATGTTTGGTTCTTAACTCAGTTACTACAAGTACACCGATATAAATGAACGACTGGTACGACTTCGGATCCGGACTTCGTGCTCTTCGGGCAGGTATGCCTTTGCGCCACTACAGAAGCTGCATTCCGTTGGTGGTATCTTTAGCTTCTGCGCAGCCATGCGTATCTTCGGGGCAGTTCACCCTCAACTGATTTAAAGAGCAATACGAGATTACTGCGGTGAGGCGGACAGTCCACCTACCGGGAAACCCCCTTGTCACCTCGGTCGAGGTAGGCCTTTCTACCCTTCACTAAATATAAGCATTCTTGCAATAGCTTCCTTATCGTGAGCTACAGCAAAAAACAGTAGTTACTTATACAGAAGAAGTAACAGCATGATGCAGCTGGACTCAATATGGAGTACTAAGGGTGAAGCATTCCGTGATAACCAGTGAAAAGGGCCATGCTTTATACACCCATCCAGTATGTCAGCGAGATTTAGCCTTCTATGAGGACTTATGGGAAAGACCGACCGGTAACTAAGTTTCTTTTCTCTTTCGGTGAGTTTTCGTACAGAAGACTTCCTTACTTATCAACACCTACTAACTTATTTATCCCACATTGCCCCGTGCTCCATTTTTAAAGACTCAGGCCACTTTGATAAACATTCTTCTTATGGAGTAAATTTCCCAAAACTTTGTCACGGTTGGACGTCTTGGATACCAATACTACATCCGTTTTAGACATATGATCCTCGAATCCGCGCCAGGGATGCCATCGCCACCATTACTTTCGCCGCAGGTGCTAGTACCGCGCATACATGCATTTCCACACCAGGCTTGTATGATCTTCCTGTTTGGGGGCAAAATACTGTCAGGTACTAGTTTTTCAACGATTCCAGTGTTCCATTGTGTCTATACGTCCGTCCGTGCAGAGTTTAGAGCCAAGCGGACGCATTATTGTGTTCAGGTGTTGGACTTACAACGGGACAAAATTCTAAACAAGTCTGCCCACCTGTACGGAAGAAATGTTAACCTAAATCCAGCAGGAATTTCGAAGAGCGGGGCAGTAAAATTTGAACTGTGCCATATATTTGTTGAATGAGCACCCTGAATAAGTCAAGCGAAGACGAAATGAAGCAAGGCAGATACTGAGAGAACGAACATATACAGGGGGCCAAAAAAGACACTTCGGCCAAGTCACATATCAGTCGTTTTCGCAGCCCAGACAGAAGACGTGGATACGAGTACCAGGGCGGAAGATACCCAAGATGTTCCTCGATAAGCAGGAGCTGGCTCTCGTCCATCACCTTCATGTACACCAAAATATGAAGTCATCTCCATCGCAGCCTGACTGGAGAAGACCTTGGAATTCACGTCACCTCCAAACAGCTGCGAAACTTCTTGTATGGAGTCACCCATGGACAGCTACCTGGGCACCAGCACTCTTGATCTGGAAGACCTCCAACAGCTCCGACAACGTCGCTACGGTCTAGGATATCATCTTCACCGCAGTCGCCAAGGCGCGGGTTGATGGTATGGACCGGACGTACCTGGAATGGAAAGACCGATATTTTCTTCGTGGACCCCGGACTGAAGGTGAGCGCTGAAGGTTACATCGAGAGACGGGGTCTCCCTTCATGTCGTCACCCATACCATCTTGGAAACTTTGTACTGCTACAGGATTGTGGTGCCACCACATGGAGATCGAAGGGCGTTGGAAAAACTTTTGGAAGGGCGTTGAGTACCTGAAGAAGACGGAACATCCAAGTGTGCCACCTGACCTAAACCCCTTCAATTACCGGGTCCCAGCAGAGCTCAACAGGGTGGCTGAACTCAGGCACCGAATCACCGTCGCGTGGCAGAATCTCTCGATGGCGCTCGTCCAGAAGGCTGTGGCGGAGTATCATGATAGTGTACAATGTGCTGTTGAATATGGTGGTGGAAATGTCCAATCAGAATTTAATAAAGTGTCACTTATATCGCCTTGAAAGTCGAGGAAGAAAAGCGTCTTTTTTGCTCTATCCCTGTATAAACATTCATCCCTATCGTCCCCATAATAGACGATATTGAGCTACATCTACGCTTTGAGCCGCAGATGCAGCACTTTAGAAGGGCCTCCAGGACAGATTCTGAAGCAATTAGTTCTCCATAGCCTCCGACAAGCAATTCTGCCTCGAACATTAGAGAATTGAGCTCTTCTGGTTGTTTTCGGTTTGAAAAAAGTGAGACTTCTTAAATTCGCTTTTGGTAATAGAATCCAGGATATAAATTACTCCATAGGGATTGAAAGCTTCGAGTGCCGAACTGAGGGCGCGTTAAGCGACTTCATATGTGATGTCAATTAATCAAATTTGATAGAAAAATGCTCACACAGTTTCGAATATTGAAGGTCAACA